TGACCAGACGCTGTTCATGTGGGGAAACGTACTCCCGATGAAAGCCACACCGTTCCGCGAACGCTTCTCCTTCGACAATTTCCACGACGATAGCCATCTCTTCGCACCGTCCCCGGCGTCGTTTCGCAACTCAGGGACTATGCGGCCTCTACCCGTCCCAGCCGCTGTCAAACACATCCTGCGCACGCTTGGAGTGCATCCCGGCAGTTTAGATGCATCAGGAAAGGTAAGCTGGCTTGCTTTTTCACTGCGTAGTACTACTCTCGGAGCTCTGACGGCAAGGACATTCATCAGCCGGCACGGACTACAAGCGACGGGACATTCGTGATCCCCTCTCCAGACATGTCATTCACCAGCCACGGCGCCCGCTCGCGAATGCTCGTCATCGAGAGCCACAAAGGACCCTCAGTCCTCGCCGTCTGCGCTCTCGCATGCTGGGACGACGCGACCAACTCGTGCGTTGGGCTCCTCCTCCGACGCTACCGCCAGCAAGAGACCAAGTTCAAGTACCCTCGGTACCACGTCGGCATCACAGTACGCGGGCAGCACAAGTGGATGGGCCTGCGGTACCGGCTTGCGCAAGTAGACTGGGCCCCACACGTTCTCTCATTCAGCGGCAACCCCATCACCGCGGAGTGGAAGCAGATATACATCTCGCACCGCCCGCCGTCTCACCGCTCGATAGGCTCCGACCCCAAGCGCTGGCATGAGCCAGAATTCAAAGTGCTGTTCCCCAAGTGGTTGGAAGTCGAGCTGCGCAAGCAGGGTTTCGAGGCAGACCGTCCCCTTCCAACGGCGGGTATGGATGCACACAAGTTGTCCGACGGGGGTCCACTGGGTCTCTTCACGTTCAACCATGCCACGAGCGGCGAGTCGTTCCGCCTCCAGATCGGCCAGTGCGACGGCCTTCCCTGGGCCACCGCCACCATGATCCCGGGGCCCACCCTGGCGACCGAACTCCCGGAGCACCCCCGCGGCGAGTCCGCTGAGCCCGCTCCACTGGGAGCGACGCCCGCCGCCGGGCTGCTTGCGAAGTCGGGGTTTTCATGTAGCAAGTATCGGCTCGACGCTTGGCTTCACATGACGAAGACCTTCGGCGACTCGAGGCGAAGCATCCAGCTGACCTTCACCCGTGCGGCGGACTCCGGCGGGACGCACCTGCTGGACGTCAGGCTCGGCGGAAGCACATACCAGAAGCTGAAGAATGTACATGGGTACAGCAAGACATTGCATACGGCCGCTCGAGCCGTCGTGCGACTGTGCTCCCGGAAACGAGTATAGATGGACGATGCGTATCCCCTCAATATCCTGCAGTGCGAGGTGACGGGACCGTAAGTCTGCTCACTCCACTGATACTCTTCGAGGTTTGATAACATTTGCACAGGAAGTCGACAGACGATAGATGACTAGCACATGCCTGGTACGGCTGCAACGTCGCCGCACTGCTCAAGTAATGAGCTTCGCGCATCCCTCTCTGTGGCTATCAACATACATATCGACAACTACACAAGTCCTTGCGCCCGGACCAGTCCCTCCAGGGTCACGACCCCGCTCCGAACCGCATCCACAATCTGCACACTGTTACCCCCACACCCCCTCCGCACCGCATCTTCCATCCCGCTCATTCCCGCACACCCCATCACAATCGTCCGTGCACCCCTCGCGACGATCCTCCCCGCCGCAGCCGCGATCCTCTCCGCGACGCCCTCCGCCGGGAGCACATGCAGCTCCAGCGCGGTCATCCCCGTGCTCTCCACCCCGACGAACGCCGGTACCGAGCCGAAGACACGCCTCACCCCCTCGGCGAGCGCGCCCTCCCAGTACTTGCCCGTCGTGACGATCCCGAAGGGCTGCCCGAGCGCGAGCGAGTGCATGACGGACGCCTCGAAGATTCCCAGGACGGGCTTCGACGTGTGCTCTGTGAGCATCCCCACGAGCGGGTGGTCGGAGAAGCACGCGACGAGGTACGCGTCGTGCTGTACATGTTCGGCGTCATCTTGCAGTAGCGGCAGGAGCGACGCGAAGGTGTGCGCGGCAGAGAGGACGGAGGTGGTGTAGTCGTTCACGGATGGCGGTGCGAGTTTCGGGCCCGTGTGGTAGTGTAGAGTGAGGCCCGGATGGATGAGGTCCGCGAGAATGGGCTCGAGACCTCTAGTCATGGACTCTGAAGAGTTCGGATTGATGACCAGGATGGAAACATCGCTGCGTCTCCCCTCTGCCCTCGTCTGCGTGGTCATCGACTTCGAAGCAGCCCTCGACTTCTTGATCAGTTTTTATGTGTGTTGAGGTCGTCGTCGAAGAGAGCTGGAACCTGAAAGTTTGAAAGCGTACTACTAGCAATCTTAATCTGATCAACCTGGGCGCTAGCCGTCTGCTTGAAGCCTGAACGAACAGAAACAATTTGAAGCGTCGAGCAGCAGCTCATCGAGGAGCAACGACGGAATGCTGGAATAAATGTATCAGGATCATGTCGAGTAGTGTACATCGCCCATCTGGATAGCTACCGTGTACAAGTCCAAGTCCAAGCCCACTACACCTCCTCACCCGAGCGACCGCGACCGCCCCCGCACATACCCAGGCCTCGCCCTCCCCGGCGACGCATACCCATTCGCCGCTCCCCCCACAGCGATCCCATGCCGCTGCATCCACGCCGCCTCCGCCGCAGGTGTCGCGCCGAACGCACCCCGCGGCCACCTCTCCCGCTCCCGCTCGCGCTTCCTGCGCTCGACGGCGTTCTCCACCGCGCTCTTCAGCGGCCCGCCGTCCGCGCGCATCTGCGTCTCGAGTAGCAGGTTCTCGAGCTCGCCCGCGAGCGGACCCGAGACCGTGTCGCCGTCGTCTGCCGGGGGCGCACCGAGGAAGGGGAACGTCGTGCCTGGGGTGTTGCGTGCGGCGTGCAGGAGTGTCTGCACCTGTGCCGTCGCTGGAGGAAAGCACACGTAAGCGCAGATACGGAGGGAGCGAAATCCGACGTACCTTCATGCGAGATGGCACGCGACTGCAGCAGGATCTGCTGCGCTTCGTTCACGATGTGCTGCGCCTCCATCTCTGGGGTCGGCGCGGGGAAGAGCGCGGGCACGACGTTCGACAGCGCAAACGACGCGAGCACGAACAACGAGTGCAGGAAGCGCACGTGCTGGTACGCGACGCGGCGCGGCCAGAGGAACGAGAACAGGCTCGTGTGTGCCGCCGCGGTCGGGTCGGCGAACAGCGTGGAGGAGAACGAGGACGCGGAGGCTGGTGCTGGGGAAGGGTTCAGGATATAGAGCATCTCGTATACGGCGGTGAGAGCGAGGATGAGATAGCGCCACTGTGATAGTGCACGATTAGATGAGGTCAGGCTGGGTGCGTGTGTGCGCGACTCACGTATGCAACGGGGCCTGAGCGGCCGGAGGTGGAGAGGATGACGAGGATGACGACGGAAGTGATGTAGAATCCGGACGCTTGCATGAGTCCGTGGCGGATGTACTCCCGGAGGGTCGAACACGACCACTCGAGAGCGTCGGGGCCGAATCTACGCGTCATGAGCAAAACTATGCAAGCACTTGCCGCAGAGCTCACCTATCGTACGCAAAGCGCTTGACGGGCGACTTGAGAGCCTCATACGCATCCCGCACCTGTATGAACAGAGTCTCGCCCTGCTGGCCCACCCGGTCGGGGTGATATCTTCGTGCGAACTGCCGAAACGCGGCCTTGAGCGTGTTCTCGTCCGCGGTGGGTTCGACGCCGAGTATCTGATAGTAATTCGGCTCCACGGTAGCGGCGGCGTCATAGAAAGTGTAGACGAGGTAGCTGACGACGACGAAGAGGTACGTCAGCCGGTAGTCGCGGGCATAGTCCGAGGTACCCCGTTGAGGGGGCGGGCGGCCGAACGCGCGGGGATACGCGTAGTGCACGACGGAGAGGAGCTGCTGGGTGGCCAACCCGGGGAGGTAGGTCCAGGCTGTGTACTTGAGGAGTCCGAAAAGCGCTGCCATGTTGTCGTTGTCTGTCTACGATTGAGACGCGGCTTCAGCTGGCGTGTTGTGGCACGCGTGTCAACGCATCTCACCTGAAAGACAAGTTGGAGCAAGAGAGCGTCAGCACGCAGCAAACACGACACGACATGTAAAAATCTCAGAGCGGGTACGCCCGCCACGCATATGATCTCCTCTCCCCGCCAAAGCACGCACGTCGAACGCATCTGGCCGCACCAGCAAACGCAGCCCCTGCACCTGCCACTTGTACGCGCAGAACCACACGCCCGGGCCTTGTGCTCGAGCCCGGACGCTTTATGCCACGCGCCCCGCTCTCGCAGGCAACTGTCACGTTCGAATGCAAGCAAAAAAAATCCACGTCTGAGACCGCCCGGGACAGAGTTAACCTCGCCCTGCCCGAGCTTGGCTTCCGAACGTCCGCGGGCCCCCACGCACCCATCGCTGAGCACGGGGAGCCCAATGTCGGCTCAGCCTTTGCTCGCACGCCGTTGTCCTCGCGGCGCACAAACCTAACGTAGAGCCGTCAAAACAACCACAGTAACGTAGTGTAGAGGAAAAAGAGAGATGATGTAGGTCCGGCCTTAAGGCGCGCCACGGCGACCTCGAGCGATGGCGCGTCGGGTGACGGACGCTGCGGGGGTTCGGGGGCCACGTCTCTCGCTGGGAGAGCACTGGATACGGGGAAGACGCGTCTTCGTGCGGTTGGGCGGGGTCGACCCTTTTACTTGGACATCTTCGAAGAAACAGACGGGGTGGTGAGCTCACCTCTTTCGTCGTTCAGTGCGTCAAATGCTTGTACGAGGCCCGCGATCCACGACAGAAGATTAACGTTGCATGCCGCGACGGGGATAGATAGCAGGAAGAGGGAAGGGATCCTTGCGTGTGTATGGAGTAGAGGAAAGTGCAGTGGTCAAGTGGCAAATACAGTATGTACTTATAGGTATTACTTATGATTCTGAAGGTCGTCATTGCGCGCTAAAAGGCGGAAAGTCAGCGCAAAAAGTCTACTGCACATACGTCGGAAGGTGCTACCAGGGTTCGAACCTGGGTTCCGGGAAGCTCGTGAGCGATGGCCCTTCATCAAAATCCCGAGTGATAACCACTACACTATAGCACCATTGCCACACAGAACGGTGGTTTGCACATCAAACGCTCTGTTTGCCGAGCCCCACCCAATGTTGAAATAGGTTCGGATCAACCCGCCTTCTCCGACCGAACTTTCGTGCTCCGCACGCCTTCTGCGAAGGCGCGCTGCGAAGCAAGCGCCGGAGCAAGGGCTTGCTCCGAACCTAATGTTGAAACTCCTCAACATACATTGGCGTCGTCTCAAGTCGGCCATTAAACGTTTTCACTGCGGCCATCAATCGGAGTCGTTCGGTCGATGAAACTACTGTGGCTGATATGCTCTGAGTTTCATGTCTCAGCTTGATACTCTTCTCCCCGCTGGTAGGATTCACTTGAACGACGACGCAAGGCAGAGTGGTTTGGAGTCTGGCACAGATCAGGACCTGAAGTCTTGTCCTTTTGTCCGCTGGCGCCCCTCATACGAAAGTCAGGATGCAGAAATACAAGCTCGTGTTCTTCACCCCGCGCCCATCCACACAATCCATCCTCCAGCACCTCTTCGCCCGCTTTCCGAACCATGTCGGCCGCATCGGCGCGTACGCAGGGTGCGCATTCGTCTCCCCCGGCACCGGTGCGTCCTCCAGCTTTCACCCGACAATACGCTGTACATGCTTAGACTTACCGACGACACAGGACAGTTCATCCCCCTCGAGGGCGCGACCCCCGCGATTGGGGAGGTCGGGAAGCCCGAGCACGTCGAGGAGGACCGCGTCGAGGTGCTCGTGCTCGGCCGCGCCCCGGCAGCGACGGACACTCAGCGCGCGGACTCGGACGGGGTGGAGGTGAGCGCGGTGCTGCAGGAGCTGAAGAAGGTGCGTTGCATATCTTCTCTTGCTTCTGAGAGCTCTGGCGAACGAATCGCGATGGGACGGTGTGGGGCCTGGGTGGGCACAGGTGCATCCGTACGAGGAGGTCGCGTACGATCTGTATCGACTGGAGGATTTCGAGCGATAGCGATTGGAATGGGATTGGAGGGGCTCGGTCGGACGTCTGCTTGCCTTGCCGGATGTTTGCGGGTGCGACAACATCACTCGTGAATAGTGATACATGATGCCCTCGCCAGCGGTATGTACGTCCTCTTCGTTTACTTCTTCGAATCTCGACAGCGATCCTCGGGGTCGTCTTGCTGTCCGCTCCCTTCTCAGCCCACAACCAAACGAGTAAGTACCCACTAAAACCCCTCGTACTGATAGCCAGTCATCCGGGCAGGTACGTTCATAACTCCTGTCCTCACACCTTCGAGCCAAGACGGTAACTCACGCCCTATCAGTGCCACCTCGCAGCTCTGACGTCCACCGTCGACCCACCAGCCAAGCTCCGTTTGGCGGCGCTCGCCCTTCATCTGCAACTTTACTCTGGCCATGGTCACACGACAGAGGTGAGCCCCACTTCCCGTCCGTTCCAACTCTCGTCCGAATCGACTTTGATGAAAACCCAATCGTATCGCTGCGTTCTTTCTGACGGGGGGTCGCGGCTCGCGGCTCGCGGCTCGTTTGTCCTGTGCGCCGCGACGCCCTCGCGTGACCGCGCCCCGGCCGAGGTCGGGGTGTCTAACAATCTTCTCTCTGAGTCCGTGCCGTGCACTGCTTGTCTCTTGTTTGTCTCTCGTGTCGCTGTGGTCTCGTCGCTGACATTGTTGTGAGTTGTGGTCAATCTAGGGACTCAGCGCGTGCGGTATGCGGTATGTGGTATGCGGCATGCGGTGGGTGGTGGGCCTCGGGACCGCCCCTCCAGGCTCCGAGTGCCGTGGACGGGACGGGCACAGCATCCCATCGACATTCTTCAACGACGTTCCGTTCACCTGTCAGGAGATGACGCAGACGCTGTTATATGTACTCCTGCTGCTTGCAACGCTGGGCGTTCCGACGTCTACCGTACTGTCAATGTCAATGTCAGCGTCACGTCGAGGCGCGGATGTCCGGGTCCCATCATCCGGGGCAGCGTCTTGCGCGAGGCCCGAATTTCGAAACATTTTCAACACCGTCTCCGAGTCCTCCGCTCTCGTCGCACGCAATGGTGGTGGTGGTGGTGGGTGGGGTCAAATGGCCGCCTATCTACAAGACATGCGTGTAGCAGCTAGCTACGAACGCGAATGGAGCCTATACATCCGTGGATACCTTTCTTGACAGCAGACCGCATGTAACGCAAGCTCAGGCTGTCCCTCGCGATCTTTCGTGATCATCATCAAGCTGCAGCCTGCGGATGGAATTGTGGCATGCATGCGGGCCTCGGAGTCGCCGCTCGCGCTGCCATTCCGCGAGTCACCGCGCCCATCGATGCACGACGCCTCGTTGTGCGCAATGACAGCGTTAGCCCCGTTAGCCTCTGCACTTAGCCTTCTGTTGTGAGACTAGCCGTGTGTGGCAGCGGCTGGGAGCGTCCGCGGGCAGTCTTGTGTCTTGTGTCCTGCGGCGTGGCCAGTGCGTGCCAGGGCGGATGCTCCGAGTCGACAATCACAGGCCTAGCTTTTTGTGCGCAAAGTACGGGCGCCTGGTGTGGTATGCATTGAACTCTGTTTCTTGTATTGGTCCCTGTCAGCGGGCGATGGCGATGGTCTGCGATGGTAATAGTATATATTCTCAGTCTGCACCCGCTACCTAGCCTCCTCCCCTCCCTCTCTCTCTGCCGCCCCCGTCTCCGCGCCCGCCGTCCTGCGCGTCCTCCCGCTCGCTCCGATCTCGGCGGAACTCAGAGATTCAGAAGAGCGCGTCCCCGCACCGCACCTCCTACATAAAGCCCGTACACAGCTGCAGCTGCGAGCAGCCCATCGTCCGAGCCCCTCCTCCAGCCTCCAGCCTCCAGCCTCCCACCCCCGCACCCCCGCAAGCCGACGACGATGCGCGTGTTCGACAACCTGTACGAAGAGCCCACGTTCGAGGCGCCCACGCGCAAGGAGCAGCACGTCGTGTACGCCGCGCTGGGCACCGTCGCCGTCGCCGTCGCGTCCACGGTGGCCGCGCTCCAGATGAACGGCGCGCCGTCCTGGCTGTCTGCTGCGTACGTCCGTGCTGTGTGCACCCGTGTGTCTGGGTCGTATGCTGACTGAGTTTGCGTGACGCGCCCCGTGCTTCGTGCTTCTTGCCACTTGCCCCCGCGTATCCCCCTTTGGACTTTAGGCTTGCAAGCAGCCACTGATCGGGACGGTCTGTCGCTCGCTCGGGGTCATGGCGGCGTGACCATGACCATGCCCGTCGAGCTCTGGCGCTGCACAGGTTCGTCATCGCGGATCCTGTGATTTGCGCCTCCGTCTCACGCGCACATCCTTATCCTCGCAGCCGACCCGCTTCCCTTGCTTCTCGTACCTCGTCGTACTTCGTCGTCCCCAGTCGTCTCGCTTACTTACCCCGCGTCCTGCATCCACTGCCATACTCGCGCGCTCCGTATCCGTATCCGTATCCTTTGACTGCAGCACTCTCCTTCGGTCTCCCTTCCGTCTTTCCGTCTTTCCCTGGTTCTCCCCATCATATCTATTCCCCAGTCTCGACCTGCCCGCACTGCACGTCTACGCCTCCCGGCACATCTGTATCATCATCACCACGACTACTTATCACGCGCACGACCCACCCCGCTCTGTACTCATCATCTATCATCTATCGTTTCTCGCGTATCGCTCGTTGTAGGATAGCCTGCCGTCCGAGGTCTCTGTATGCATACAATTCACTCGCTTTTCTGTTCTGAACCCAGCGCAAGTACAACTTCAACGAGAGGGTTCCTTCCCTCGGTCGGCCGTTCCACGTTCAATGTCCAGTCCTCGGACGGGAAGGATCACTGACGGGAGAGAACCGGACAATCCACTGGACTTTGCCTCCTATGTCTATGCATCGTATGCTTCCAAGTTATGTACCCATTGCCGAACTACCCACCGAACCGTCCGCAGGGTCATCATGGTCGCACAACTTGCACTGCAGTACCATGATCGAGGACTCATGGTGATCATATAAGTATATGCGAGCCAGAGGAGGAGGAGGAGGAGGAGGAGGAGGAGGAGGAGAAACACCGTATTCGGGAGACGCGAGGTCCCCCACGAACCCCACTTAAATATGTAAATAGTTTGACGACTCACGTAGCGCCCTTGCAATCGCGCAGGCAGGCCCCTAGGCAGCTCTCCCGTTACGATCGCTGACCAGAGGGCCGCCGTAGACCCGCACCCCCCCAGGGCTTGGGAGCTGACGCGGACGGCGAACCAGACAATCTGCACACCGTACCTCACGACCCCACGACCACAGACCCTCCTGAAACTTAAAGTCGCATGTCCAACACACAGCACCAGGGCGAACGCGACCAGCGGGGTTGGGGTAACCAAAGCAGAGACAATAAATTAGAGCTATGTACCTCCAGCGGTCGACGACGAGACGTAACAGAACAGATGGAGCATGACATGACATGACATGGCAGGAACAGGAACTCAAAACGACAGCAGGAGGGAGGAGGTATAGCAGCAAAGAGGGACAGCTACACACTAACTGATGAGTGACACAACACAACATACATGCGACTACGGCGTGTATCGAAACAGGGAGCATCGCAGCGTAGAGGGGCGGGAAGGAGCGTACGGGCGCGAGCAGGCGAGCAAGCACATGCGTGGAAAGAGGAAGGGGAATCAAGTGTGCAGGAGAACAATCCGAGGTATGAAGAACAAACCCAATGTCCGCTGGACGGGAGATCAAGCGCGATCTTAGAATAAGCACACAAAGTTGCTCGGGAAGATGTGCCGCCCGGGCTGCCTCCGCGTCTCGTCGAGCAGCTCGCCACTCCACCAGCCGTCCTCGGGCGTCGCGGTCACCGCGATGATGTCTCCCTCCTGGAAGTCGAACTCCTCCTCGATCGTCGCGCGGTAGTTGTACATCGCTTTCACTGCAGGTGGGTACGGCGTCAGCCCAGGGTTCCGAGAGGCTGAGAAGAGGAGAGGAAGCACGAGAAGCGAAACGATCACACGTACCATAGAACAACACCCCGCGCCCGTCGTCCGTGTACTGCCCAGTCGGCGGCGGC